TTCACCGTCTTAGCCAGGCTGGTCTTGAACTCCTGACCTCATGATCCACCTGCTTTGGCCTCCCAAAATGCTGGGATTACAGGCCTGAGCCACCCATGTCGCCTCACCCATTTTTTAATACATGGGTTTGTCTGATGAGGATTGTAATCCAATGATTGGTTAGCAGCAATTTTACCAAACTGTAAGTTCTTTTACTAACAGACATTATAAACAGATAATACTAATCTTATTTAAAAATAATGAGTGCCACAGTGGTGAATATACAGCTTATGAATAACCTTAAAAAAATTTCCCATTTTAAAAGGCAAACACAGCAGACAACTATACTAAACAAAGAAGCTAGAATATGGATACAGGATTGATGGGTCTAAGATGATACGTACCATACATAATTAATGTTAATCATGTGATCGGTATATTTTTCCTTGTGATTCCCCTTCATGCTGCTTTCTTCAGAAACTGAATTCTGAACTTCCTCTTCTAAAATTGGTACAATCAGGTTATCCTTGGACATCAAATTTTCTTTTATCACAAACTTAGTGATACAAAATGACACAAAAATGTTTCATTTTCGTATTCATCCAATATCTAGAGTAATAAAAAGAAGCACGTGGCCAGGCACAGTGGCTCACACCTGTAGTCCCAGTACTTTGGGAGGCCGAGACCAGCAGATCACTTGAGGTCAGGAGTTCAAGACCAGCCTGGTCAACATGGTGAAGCCCCATCCTGGCCAACATGGTGAAACCCCATCTCCACTAAAAACACAAAAATTAGCTGGGCATTATGGCTGAAACCTGTAATCCCAGCTACTCAGGAGGCTGAGGAAGGAAACTCGCTCTAACCCAGGAGGCAGAAGTTGCAGTGAGCTGAGATCACACCAGTGCACTCCAGCCTGGGCGACAGAATGAGACTCCATCTAGGGAAAAAAATATATATATATATGAAAATATTCTGGAAATCTTTTTTTTTTTTTTTTTTTTTTTTGAGACGGAGTCTCGCTTTGTCGCCCAGGCTGGAGTGCAGTGGTGCGATCTCGGCTCACTGCAAGCTCCGCCTCCCGGGTTCACGCCATTCTCCTGCCTCAGCCTCCGGAATAGCTGAGACTACAGGCGCCCGCCACCTCGCCCGGCTAATTTTTTGTATTTTTAGTAGAGACGGGGTTTCACCGTGTTAGCCAGGATGGTCTCGATCTCCCGACCTCGTGATCCACCCGCCTCGGCCTCCCAAAGTGCTGGGATTACAGGCGTGAGCCACCGCGTATGCTGGTCCAAGTTTTGCTACAGATGATTCCTTTATACTAACCCTGCTAGGGAAATAGTTATTGCTTTTCAGAAGACACAGCACCATCAAGTCTGTGTCTAGTCTAGTCTGTAGTAGAACACTTGGATTTTTATGAGCTGCACAAGGAAAAAGCCATTGTTCAGTTGCTGTCATTTGAATACAAGTGTCTGGATGGCATTCAGTCTGAAGTTTGACAGCAAGTCCATTTAGCTCAAGGAAGAATTGCCTTAAATGTTCATACTTCCATATACCTGCATCTTGGCCTTCAGGTGGTTCAAGATTTTTGTCAGTATTGGAGCAATCTTCTCTTATGTTCTGTTGCATATACTGCTGAACAGCTAGCATACTGTCATTTCATCAAAAGAATCATCAGGCCAGGTGCCCAGCCTGGTCCACTTCAGCATTGCCATGTCCTCTGCCATGACCACAGTGCTATCATCTGAAGATTAACAACACTTTTTAGCCATTATTCTAGTCTTTCATAATCCATAAAATTACTAAAATGAAATTTCTTTTTAAAGCATTTTATTATTCAGGCTGGGCATGGTGGCTCATATCTGTAATCCTAGAAATTTTGGAGGCCGAGGCAGGTAGATCACTTGAGGTCAGGAGTTTGACACACCAGCCTGGCCAACATGGCGAAACCCTGTCTCTACCAAAAAAAAAAAAAAAAAAACCACGAAAATTGACTGGGCGTGGTGGTGCACACCTGTAGTCCCAGCTACTTGGGAGGCTGAGGCACAAGAATCTCTTGTACCCAGGAAGCAGAGGTTGCCGTAAGCTGAGATCATGCCACTACATTCCAGCCTGGACGACAGAGTGAGACCCTGTCTCTGTGAAAAACAAAACAAAACAAAACAAAAACCAAAGCATTTTATTATTCAAATGTTTTACTAAGCATTTACTAAGCATCCCACACTAAGCATTCACCTAATGAGTGAGGTTTATCACCCACCTACGGAAATGAAGCACCTGCTTTTGCCATCTTGCTGCACTCATTCGATAAAATAAGATATTTTTTAATTGTGCAGGGCCCTGAGATGACTTCACATTATTATTCAAATGAATGTGACAAGTTTTACATTTTTTTTTCCTTTTTTCCCCTCGTGTCAGTCACCAAATCAGTTCCTAAAGTGAAAAATCAGTTCCAACATTTTTTGTTGTTGTTGTTGTTTGTTTTGTTTTGTTTTGTTTTTTTGAGACAGTCTCACTCTGTCGCCCAGGCTGGAGTGCAGTGGCATGATCTAGGCTCACAGCAAGCTCCGCCTCCCGGGTTCACGCCATTCTCCTGCTTCAGCCTCCTAAATAGCTGGGGCTACAGGCGCCTGCCACCACGCCCAGCTAATTTTTTTTTTTTTTTTTTTTTTTGGCCTTTTTAGTAGAGACGGGGTTTCACCATGTTAACCAGGATGGTCTGGATCTCCTGACCTCGTGATCCGCCCACCTCTACCTCCCAAAGTGCTGGGATTACAGGCGTGAACCACCGTGCCCGGCCCTCTAAAGGATTTTTTAAAATAAACCTTTCCCCAGTGACGATTTCCTGGTCTCATTTAGTCTTTTCTGATGATCTCAAACAGTTTCTGGTTTTTGTTTTTTGTTTTTTTGAGATGGAATTTTGTTCTTGTGCCCAGGTTGGAGTGCAGAGGCGCGATCTCGGCTCACCGCAAGCTCCGCCTCCCGGGTTCATGCCATGCTCCTGCCTCAGCCTCCCGAGTAGCTGGGGTTACAGGCATGCGCCACCACACTCGGCTAATTTTTTGTATTTTTAGTAGGGATGGGGTTTCACCATGTTGGCCAGGGTGGTCTCGAACTCCTGACCTGAATTTATCCATCTTCCTCGGCTTCCCAAAGTGCTGGGATTACAGGCGTGAGCCACCGTACGGGACCAGTTTCCGTTTTGATGAATGCAGAGCACTGGCATATTCTTATGTGAATTCTTTAAAAAGAGATTTTGTAAATCATGCTTGATATTTTGCTTTCAAGCGTGAGAGATTTACCTCCTTTTTACCCTTTTTCTCTCGCCCTTTAGACAAATCGAATTTACCTGTTGTGGCACTAACATAAAATATTGTATAATGTGAATAATAAGTAATATTAGATTAATGTGTAAAATAACATTAGTAAAATGAATAACAGCTTTTATTAGTATTTTCTGTCATCGAATATTATGTTTTACACTGTGTCAGGTATGTGACAATTTGATTTAGCAAGGTATTTTGTGTATTACTGTTTCATTTAAGCTTCGTAATGTAGAATAAGCAATTTAGAAATTGAATTATTTCTGAAATAGTAGTAAGGAAATTTTACATTTGTGTTTTACCCTGTTGGTAATGAAGATGTAAGTCTAAAAAGTAAACTTACTTACATGCCCATCTCTATTAGAAAAAACTAAGAGTTTCAGCATTACGTATTTATACAACTATGGTTCTCAGAGTCTCTCTCAAGTAATATGTGCTGAATCTTTCTACAGAAAACTTTAAAAAATAGAACCAGCTTATTAAGCAGTAAAGAGTATAATGCTTAAAATTTACAATTGTCCAGTAATATATTAATAAAATTGATTTTAACTGAAATTACTTTTGGTAACTCTTAAAGATAATAATACATTTTGAGGTTTATTCATGGACGTTACTGATGTTGCTTCCTCTAGCAACACGATAATATTTACTCTCACTCCTGTTATAGGTGAGATCTAAAAAAATGAAACTCGGCCGGGCGTGGTGGCTCATGCCTGTAATCCGAGCACTTTGGGAGGCCGAGGCAGGCGCATCACTTGAGGTCAGGAGTTTGAGACCATCCTGGCCAATGTGGTAAAACCCCGTCTCTACCAAAAATACAAAAATCAGCCAGGTGTGGTGGTGCATGCCTATAATCCCAGCTACTGTGGAGATGGAGACAGGAGAATCACTTGAACCCAGGAGGCAGAGGTTGCAGTGAGCCGAAATAACACCACAGCACTCCTTTATACTCTTAAATATTTTTAAGAGCACAGCCTGGGCAACAGAGTGAGACTCCGTCTCCAAAATAAAAAAGCAAAAAGAAACTCATGTCAGTTCGCTTTTTTTTTTTTTTTTTTTTTTGGTTAATAATGCTGCTAAAAGTTTTGATATAATATTACAGCATTTTCCGAGAATCTGAATAATAATAATAGGTGGCCTTGAAATTTTTCCACTTCTCTCTTTTCTTTATACTCTTAAATATTTTTGAGAGCACCAAAGAGCTTTTTTGTGAGAGATTATCTATCTAATCTATCTATCTACCTACCTACCTATCTGCTATGTAATTTCCTATTCAAAATTAAAATAGAAAGATTTTAAACATTAAAATATGTAAGTACTCAATCCATTGCCTTCAGAGCAAAGATATCACAGCACATCATGCATCCTTTGGAAAAATTCCACTATGTACTCATGAGACAATGAGAGAGAAGAGGCAAATAACCTCTTCTTTTATTATAAAATAGTAGTTTTTTGGTTTTGTTTTTATCTCTCAGACCCTCTGGAAAGGTCCTGGGAACCTCCAGGGAGGCTTCAGATCATGCTCTGAGAAATGCTGTCATAAATAATTGAAAGATGACCACATCTTTAATTGTAATGTATTTGCATACATTCAGCTTTGCAAAGCTCCTCCTAATGATGTAGTTTACAAAATCTGAACCAATAAGAAAGGGTATTTGTGAGTGTATATCAACACGGTAATTCTCTTTTTTTTTCCTACAGTTATGGAAATTCTTGAAGCCCAATACTCCACTGGAATCTCGGATTTCTAAGCAGTGGTGTGAAATTGGTTTCCAAGGTGATGATCCTAAAACAGATTTTCGAGGAATGGGACTTCTGGGACTGTACAATTTGCAGTAAGTAAAATGAAGGACAGCTGACTGATCGAGTGATGTTTTGGTCTCCTCATATTGAAATGGCAAAAGCTGAGTAATTAGCTTCAAAAGCTACTTCCCATAAGACTCTAAGAAAACATTCAAATTCCCTGAGAGGCCAGGTTCATAAAATGTTAAAAGTGTCTGCTAGTAGCCTTCCTTGTATTTCAGCAAATTTCATGGATTTTTAAAGCAAATCTCAACTATATTTAAAAATTGTTTTATTATTTAAAATGTTCACACATATGTAAAAACAGAGAAGATTGTAAAGAACACCCTTGTATTGATCATGCAGATTCAGTAATTGTTGAGGTTTTGAAATATTCACAACATTATTTTTTTGGCAGAAGGGTGTTAACGAAAACTCTACACCATCATTTCACCCTTCATATGTTAATATGTAGTTCTAAAAAATATCAATATTACCTCACATTAACCACAATGCCATTATCACATCAAACAAAATTAACAGTGATTCCTTGATGTCATCTTTATCCAGTCCATATTCAAATTTCCCAGTTCTCTCGAAAATACTTTTTATGGCTGGTTTATCCTATGCACTTCCAACTATGCCCTTTGTTGTTCTTAAATTAGATGGGTCTCTCTTGCTCTGTCCCTTCCTTTTGCCCCCTTCTCCATGTCAGGATTTCAGATCAGTTGTCCTGTAATATGTCCCATGGTCTGGATTTGCCTGTTTACACTTGTATCCATCCCCTGTATTTCCTGAAAATTGGAGGTATGCAGACAGGCCTGAAGAGATTCAGGTTGACATCACAGCGGGAGGCCTTCCGTGTCCCTCCACTCTCAGCCCTGTGCTGCAACAAATCAGAGGAATCCCATTCTGATGCCGCCAGTGTAAAGTCCTCCTTCTATGATCTTTACTGAACCGATTAATTAATTGTATAAAGAGTGCTTTTCTATTTTTGTTATTTTTCCTATAATTTTTGGCTGGAATTTTTAAAGACTTCGTTTCCTTATAGAGTATAGTTATTTGGTTTCTCTGAAATATAGGCAGGACAGATATTCAATTTTTGCATTTGGTTGCCAGTTCTCAGAGTCAGGAGTTGGTTGCCTCGTTCCCCTGTTAGTGATCAATTTTTTTTTTTTTTTTTTTTGCTCTCTCTCTCTATTTTTAAAACACCATTTGTTAACTCCTGTGTTTCTATATGTTTATTGTAACTCAACTAATTGTACTTGTTATTTTTTTCATGCTTTAATTCAGTCATGTATAGTCATTATTTTTTGAGCCAAAGAGTCCTTTCAAGTTGATTCTTGTGTCCTTTGACGCTACCCTATTAGGGCAGTGATGTATTTTTAAAAGAAGTTAAGCCTTACTCAGTCATTTTGGTGGCATCCCATTTTCCCCTAGATCTTTCCCTTTATTTTAAATTTAAGAAGTTTAATAATCACCCATTCTTTTATGAAACATTTTAATGTAATGTTAATGAACGGAAAGTAAACATTAATGACAAAGACAATGTTACAGATAAGTGAATAGAGTCAGCTTTTGAATAACTGGGACAATTGGCCTTCCACTGAGAAAAATAAAATAAAATTAAATCACTACGTCACCTCAGTTCACAAGCTGAAAGTCCAAAACAAGTCTTTCCTACTTTTAGAAGAAAATCAAGATATCTGACTGAGGAGAGATCTCTTAAAGACACGAGCAAAAAAAGCATCCACTGGAAAAGAAGAATCAATAAATTTCACACATTAAAATTGAAAACTGCAGTAAGATAAGCCCCATAAACAAAGTAAAAAGAGACAAGACTGACACATAAATGATAAAGGATCTATGTTCAGTATATTATTGTCTATAAGGTTATTTGTCTTTTTTATTTGAGGTCATTTTTAGACTCACTGAGCCAAAAAATATGAACAGATGAGACATAAAAGAGGAAACTCAGATAACCGACAAAAGTATGAAAAGAAACTCCGTTTCATTAACAACTGTGAATGTGTGCATTACAATTGCTGACTTGGGGTTGAAATTTCCTCAGAGGAAATTCAAGAACTTCTTTTACCCTTTGGATTTATGCAGGAAATATACACACATCACATTAAATAATAGATGCTATTGTTTTATCATTGTCTCTATGAAGTACTTTTTAACGGATTATTTTTGAGGGTGTGCAGTTTTTTGTGTTTATTAGGAAACCTAACTACCCTTTTCCCTTTAGAATAAAATGTTATTGTTTTTAACATATCTAAACTCAAAAGATATTTTCCATTCATCCAGAATTCAAATTCCCAGTGAGTATTCGAAGCATATCCTCTCTCATCTCCTTCAGTCTTTTCTTTCTCTCATCATGTCCCTTAACCGAGGCTTCTGCCTTCTGAAGGCCTCCAAAAATCGAACTATTTGACCCCCTCTTCTATAACCCCTCTTTATAATAAAATCTTTGGTTCTCGGGGTAATGGCAAAGTTCTTAATTAAATTTTCAAAATCTACTGGATACATTCCTAAATCTGTGCGGGTTTCACAGCTACTCTACCATGTCATTACATTTCGAAAACTCTGTTGTGAAAAACTGTTTGTTCCCTGGAGGAGCTGAAACAAGTAATAACCTTATGCCAGTATCCATCTCTGAATTCAGAATGACCTCGAATTGGATTAAAATGAATATATTCAGCAAGTAAGCAAGTACAGAGTTACAGTTTTCTTTCCCTCCCCCGCTGCAGGTATTTCGCAGAAAGGGATGCCACAGCAGCTCAGCAGGTCCTGTCTGACTCTCTTCATCCCAAATGCAGGTAATTGTTGAAAGTAAAAGATGAATTAGGTTTTATGGGTTAGATCAAATGAACTTCATCTCCTACATGTATCTGTTGATGAGATTCTCAGGAGAGTGAGACTCAAAGCTTTTTCAAACAAGCCCTCATAATAAATGCTGAGATGGAGGGTTAAAACTTCAGGTACTCATTCCAAGATTTAGGATATCAAGTGGCACCATTCGGGTGAGATATGCATTTTTATTTTATTTTATTCAGGTGAGATATGTGTTTATATTTAAAGGGACTGATAGTGTCACTAGTGTCCAGGAAGACTGAGGAGGTGGCCATGGAAGAAAGGCAGGGTCTGGGGGAAAGGGTCCAGAGACAAGAAAGATGACGGGGGAACAGAAGGAAGAATGGAAGTTAAGAAGTCAGGGACCAAGTGAGAACATCTGGAATTGCTGAGGCTTTTTTCTTTCTTTCTTGTAAAATTCTAGATGCTAAATTATTTGCATTTTCATTTGCTTTTCTACTTTTTTTTTCTTTGATTACATGAAGGGATATCACTAAAGAAGAAATAAGGTATCTTTTCTTTGTTTTTGTGTTTTATTGCTTTTATTTTGTTTTAGAATAAGTATGGGTAAGAATTTTTTTAAGGAACTCTGAATTTATTTGTTTCTAAAAGCCAACATTTTCAAACTTTTAATCTAATATAGTTGATTATAGCTGGGCTATGTTTTAACGAACTGAAAACCAGATGAGACTGACCGCTTGGAAAATGTCAAACGGTCTTTCTACAGCCATGACGAAATCTGGTTGGAGAAACATTTTGAACACTCACCTAAAGGCTGAACCCCTCACCACACCTGTTCTGACTCCAGTTACCCCAGAGGAGGGCATTTTATTTGGGAATTTTGTTGCACGGAACAACTTTACTCTCTATTAATATATCTAATTTAATTATTATAAATGGTAGTTGTGTGTGTGTGTTAGTCACTCTTCTTAGAAGGAGTTCCATTATTTTGCAATCATAGTTTTATATCGCTTTTTTTTCTCCTCAGCATGATGGTAGATTAGTTGTTAGTATTCATGTTGGCTAAGTAAATCCAAAATTTTATCAAAACCTTCTTAAAATTCAGGGATACGTTGAGTTGGGCTTTCCCCCCCACCCCACCTTACTATTTTACTCATTCTAGCTTCATTTGGCTAAGATTCATTAAGTCATATTACACTTCCCAAATTTACATTTGTAATATTTTATAAGATTAAAAATTCATTCCTTTAAGAAAAACACTACAATTGTTTAGCTTTTTCTTGTTATATGGTTAAAATCAAGCTATTTTAATTTTTTAACTACATCTTCTGAATTGCATATTTCTGTAATGTAGAGACTCTAAACTCCCTCTAGTTAAAATTGGCTGGGGAGTCTGTCCATGCTCTCAGGTGGCATTTCCTGGAGGAACATCAGTCAGAAGACACGAGTCCTCCACGGTCCTTGGAAAGTGACAATAAGCTCACAATATTTCTGATTAACCATTGGAGGGGCACTGACTTTGTCTATGAGTCTTTCTTAAAGAAAAGCTTGGCTGGGCGCGGTGGTTCAGGCCTGTAATCCCAGCACTTTGGGAGGCCAAGGCAGGCAGATCACAGGGTCAGGAGATCGAGACCATCCTGGCTAACACGGTGAAACCCCCGTCTCTATCAAAAATACAAAAATTAGCCAGTCGTGGTGGTGGGCGCCTGTAGTCCCAGCTACTCGATAGCATGAACCTGGGAGGCGGAGCTTGCAGTGAGCCGAGATCGTACCACTGCACTCCAGCCTGGGCGACACAGCGAGACTCCTTCTCAAAAAAAAAAAAAAAGAAAAGGAAAAAAAGGTTTATAGTTGTATCTCCTGTGTCAGCCATCCAAGAGAAAGTATTTGAGGTTTGGGGTGACTACTCTTACTTAAAAAGAGACTAGCATTTGTGTGTGCATGCATATATGTGTAGTCATGTATATAAAATTACCATGCTTTATCCCTCAAACTACAATAAAATTGAATCAATAAAGTTCAAAAGTCAGTGCGTACTAAGGAAAGCTCTTTCCTGTCTATCGTTTAGCAAGCATGACACATTACTGCGTTTGTTAACATCCATTGGTTGAGTATTAAAGTTACCTGAGGGATAAAAGCGGATTCAAGTTTAAGAAGAAAATTTTGACTGTTAGTTTGTGTGTGTGTTTGTTTTCTCCCTACGAGGGGAATGCAATCTGTTTGGGTCAGGATATCCTATAAGTATCAAATAAGTACAGATCACTTGGCCTCTTCTTTTATTTCCAACGCAGATAGATATATGATTTAATGAATATGGAGATACTGTGTAGTTATAAAGCCTTGCTGAAGAGAAAATAGGTGCTTATAAATTCTTATATATATATAATTTCTTAAATTGCACACATACCTTATTTTAGTTTGGATATGAATCTTTAAGGTAAAAAAATCTCCTGATCTCCTGATTCCTCTTCAGCTGTTTGGTTTGTTAGCCAGAAGTTACACTTTAGAAACAGGTGGCACATTTTAACATGAATTAAAAGCAGTTATTTTGAATTATAACCATTTATAGAATAGAAAACACACATAGTTAAATATCAATTCTGTGTAATGTTTTTGTAGTTGTGTGTTGTGTGTATTATATGAGCGTCTTGTAATCAAATCTTTGCTGTGTGTTCTGGATTTCCTTTCTTCTAGTCAGATAGAGAGAAATTAAATATTCATAATAACTAGTTTTTACACTGTATTGAGTTCAAATGCCAACTACGGTTTATACAATGTATACAAACTTTGTATATAAGAATTTATAAGCACCCCTTTTCTCTTCAACAAAGCTTTATAAATAAACGGTGCCTCCTTATTTGTTAAATTACATATTATCTGCATTGGAAATATAAGAAAAGGCTAAATGACCTTAGTGTAAAATACTGAATGAAGGTTACATCAGTCACAGGGAAGAATGGAACATGAGTCCTGCCTCCTCCTGTTGGCTGTACGGAAGGGCATGGGAGTGGGGCAGATGCACACAGAGTAATAGAATGTAGGGCACAGTAAGCCGAGATTGCACCACCACACTCCAGCCTGGATGACAGAGCGAGGCCAAGAAAGAGAGAGAGAGCGAGAGAGAGAGAGAGAGAGCAAGCAAGCATTTTCAGAATGCTTCTATGATAGAAATCTTTTTTCAAACAGTCTTATTCAGAAGCTTAAATTACAAAAACAGATGAAAATGGAGCTAGTGTGGCTTACTGACTTAGCCAGAAGAAACACCATAGCACTTACTGGGACAGAATTTTTAAAACCTGTAAATGCTCCCTCCCCCCTCCCTCCCTCCCTCTCTCCCTCCCTCCCTTGCTTCCTTCTTTTCTTCCTTCCTTGCTTCCTCCCTCCCTCCCTCTGTCTCTCCTTCCTCTCCTCCTTTCCTTACCTTGCTTACTTCCCTCCCTGCTTCTTTTCTTCTTTTCTTTCTTTTACTAACTCAATCATTTATTTATCGATGAACATTTATTTGGCATCTACCATGTATCAGGCATCACAAATAAGACTGAATAGGATAAACACCACTAGGTAAAACCAAACAAAATGCAGTGGGGAATCATGAGAGAGTGAGATGACATCTAGTTACCTCACTAAATGTTTCAGGAAGGAGGGGTTTGATCATTAATGATAGTGCAAAAGAATATCTTAATGTTTGGCCTTTAGGGCTGTCTCCCATGGCTGTACTAAAGTGAATAGGAGGTAAATAGCAGGGCCTTAAATAATTCCATTTCTGAGCTCCACATAAATTGTATTGTGGCTTTTAAAACTGATAATATTTAAATTGATAAGTGTTAGATAACTGAGCTACAGACATCTCTGCATATAGTTAACAGTTTTAACATAAGCATTAAAAGAGGACAAGTACCAATTAGAGATTAAATCTGATTTACTTACTTATTCATTCATCCGTTCAGCAAATTCAGCAAAGCAGAATGGGAGAAGAAAAGGATGGATAAGGCAATTGGGTGAGTATGGGATCTCACATGGAAAGATGGTCCATCTGAACCAGAACCAGAACTAGAGTATCATGAAAGACAAGAGTGAAACTCTACTTGTTCTGATAGAAATATACAATCTAGTTAAAATATTTAAAGCACCCTTTTATATGTTTGTGGATTCATCTGTATGGTTATATGATATTACTTTGCCTATGAACAACTGACAAGGTAGAAAGTTGTAATTATAAGGAAATGATTTTCAGAAATCACTTAGAATTGTGTTTGGTAGTTTTCTTTTAAGGATTTCATCAAATATTGGGCTATTTGATAAAAATTTACTTTAGTTTTTTTATAATGCCCCATATTATCCAAAAATATTTCTGAACAGAGAATTTTTTCTGTGCTGGATTTATATTAGCAGAGAAGATTTAAGAACTCGGGTTCCATTAATTTTTGGTAAACATGTAAATAAGGAACTAGAAAATACACACTGTGTTAAGATACTTATTTAAATTTTTCTTATCTTAAAAGTAATATACAATTTATTATAGAAAAGTAAACAAAAAATCACCCCAATCTTGTTACTTTTGTGGCATTTTATTTTAGTTTTTTTCCTTGCACATCTGTGTGCATTTATATAATAAAATGGCTTGCTCTATCCGTAATGTTTTATATCCTGCTTAAATCATCTTTAAGAAGATAATTTTAATCAACTGTAATATATGAGATTACCATAATTTATTTTGCTATCTGTCTTCTTTAGGAATTTGAATAGTTTCCATGTCGTTTCTATTATTAAAAATGCTATAATGAAATATATCTATAAAGCTTTGTCCACTTCGGATTTTTTTTCTGTCATATATTTGGAAATGGAAAGGTCAAAGTATATGAACTACCAATTTTCTTGATACACATTACTGAAATTTTCTGCTAAATTACAAAAGTCAAGGTTTTGATAGGGTAGAGATGGAAGGGTGACCTGCTACTCTGATAATTTAATAGTAAGTTAAATATCAGATTATCAATTACTGAAATGCTTTTATTTATTTATTTATTTATTTATTTTTTGTCAAGTGAAAGCACGTTTACTAAGAAAGTAAAGGAATAAAAGAAAAGAATGGCTACTCCATGGGTAGAGCAGCCCCAAGGGCTGCTGGTTGGCTATTTTTATGGTTATTTCTTGATTATTTGCTGAACAAGGGGTAGATTATTCATGAGTTTTCTGGGAAAGGGGTGGGCAATTCCCAGAACTGAGGGTTCTTCCCCTTTTAGACCATAGGGTAACTTCCTGACATTACCATGGCATTTGTACACTGTCATGGCACTGGTAGTAGTGTCTTTTAGCATGCTAATGGGAAATGCTTATTTCTTATATGTGACACACAGTTGGTTTTATGGTTTATACTTTATAGGTATTCATTTGCAATTGTGGGCATCAATATAACTGACCTGGCATATAATCTACTGATCAGTGGAGCTCTAAAAACCCATTTCTACAATATCGCCCCAGAAGCTCCAACATTGTCTCACTTTCAGCAAACATTCTGTAAGTATCCTGTTGTATAATTGTCAATACAGGTTTCTATGCTGGACGCGGTGGCTCACCCCTATAATCCGAGTACTTTGGGAGGCCAAGGCAGGTGAATTGCCTAAGCTCAGGAGTTTAAGACCAGCCTGGCCAACATGGTGAAACCCCATCTGAACTAAAAATAAAAAAACTAGCCAGGCATGGTGATGCGCACCTGTAATCCCAGCTACTTGGGAGGCTGAGGCAGGATAATTACTTGAACCCAGGAGGTAGAGGTTGCAGTGAACCGAGATCGTGCCACTGCACTCCATCCTGGATGACAGAGTGAGACTCCATCTCAAAAAATATAAATCATATATATATATATATCATATATATATATATAGGTTTCTATAGAACACTCCCGACAAGGATCGAAGCTGAGAGATCTTTGTGATTTGGCTGCTTTGGAGCCTTTGAACTTCCTCTTTTGGTTCTGATTTTTTTGTTTTCTCATTCAAAAATCCACACTTACATTTTCAGGCATGGTAAATTCTTCTCTTTCCTGGCTCTTGCGTAATCTCCAGTGTATCCACTTCTGCTCTGACTTAAAGACGTCATGGGTGTTTCTCTCCCTCTGATCCTCATGGCATAGCACTCGAGAGTGCAGGTTCTGAAGACAGCCTGAGTTAATTCTCAGATCTATGTTTTAGCAAAAGTGAAATCTCCAAGAAGGATTAGAAGATAAAGTCGAAACTCTCCTAGGAAGTAGAGCAAAAAGGCATAGATGGAAAATAGAAAATAAAAAAGGTTGTCAAATTAATGGATCATTCTATGAGGTCTTATAGCTGAATAATAGAAGTGCCAGAAAAATAGTGGTGAAAACTAAGGAAGGGGAATCCAATAAAGAAAGAAAGAAAAATTTTCAGAACTGAAGTATGAGTTTTCATACTTAAAGAAATAAGTACCTACACAACAGATTAATGTAGACCCACACCAAGGACCTAATCATTGTGAAATTTAATGACATTGGAAAGAGATGACCCCGAAAACTTCCAAAGCTGTCACATAATGAATTGGGAATCAAGATGACATTGGACTTCTCAACACTACATTGTATTCTAAAACATAGAATATTGTCTTCAAAAGTTAAGAGAGACTGGGCGCCGCACATCACACCTGTAATCCCAGCAGTTTGAGAGGCTGAGGCGGGAGGATTGCTTGAGCCCAGGAGTTTGAGACCAGCCCAGGCAACATAGCGAGACCCTGTTTCTACAAAAAGATAAAAAATTAGTCAGCTGTAATCCCAGCCACTCAAGAGGCTGAGGTGAGAAGATCGTTTGAGCCCAAGGAGGTCAAGGCTGCTGTGAGCTGTGATTGCACCACTGCACTCCAGCCTGGGTGACAGAGCAAGACCCCATCTCAATCAATAAGTCAATCAAAGTTAACAGAATATTTTTTAAAACTAAGGGAATATGATTTCTAGTTTAGAATTTTACACCCGGTATAACTTACTACCTTACCAATCAAATATGGGAATAGAATAAAAACAGTTTCTTAATGCAAGGTCTTAAGCATTTTACTTCCCTGTACCTTTATCGGGAAGCTTATTTCCACAAAATAAGAGAGTAATAATCCTAAAGGAATAAATGGGGTCTGGAAAATAGGAACTCTGTCCCAGGAGAGCAGTGAAGGGAAAGCCCAAGATATCTGTGCAATTGGCTGCAAATAATAAATCTAGATTCTAGAAGGTCAGAAGGCTGTGGGAGAGACTCTTTGAAGAACCTGAAATTGACAGAATATTACCATGTTTGAACGCACTGCGAGAACATTGGCATATTTAGGAGATAGTTTAGGCTTAAATTAAGGGGGAAGCCAGGCAAATAAACAAAGAAGGCAGTTATTAATACAAAGTAAAGAAAAGGGTGAGAAAATAAGTGACTATGTGGCTGGGGTGAGTGAGAGGGAGCTAAATCTTAATCTTCTATAAAGAAAAAAAATTTTTTTAATCAAGTAATGGAAAGCATGTTGATTAGAGCTATGAAGATCGATAACCAAAATAATCAGCTAAAAGAATTGAAATACTGCTTTAGGAAAGCAGGAATTAGGGCAGGAGACTGCTTTTTCTTTTTGTTTTTGGGATTTTTTTTTTTTGTTTTTGTAACAAGACTTGTTAAACTATTTGACTCTGAACAATGTGCATGTATAACTTAGATAAAAATGAAAAGTAAATTATAAAACACATATACTTTACAACTTGTTAATGGAAAATGTAAGTCCCTTACATGCATTATCACAGCTCCTGCTTTGATAATTGGATGATTATATTCACTCCTATAAAAATTCTGAGCATCTCCAACAAATATGATTGAGATTTTACTATGGATTAGGTTCTATGCTGAGGAAGACAGGCATTTAAACAAATACTTAAAATGTAGTGGGTCCAGCATTATCTTCAGGGAAACAAAAAAGTCTTTAAAAAAAATAAAATGTAGTGGGAGGAATTTAGTGATTGAGGAAGTAAAGACACTGCTTCTAAAAACTGGAAGTCGCTGACGCAGTGGCTCACACCTGTAATCCCAGCATTTTGGGAGGCCAAGGAGGGCAGATCACTTGAGGTCAGGAGTTCAAGACCAGCCTGATCAACAGGGTGAAACCCTGTCTCTATGAAAAAATAGAAAAATTAGCCAGGTGTGATGGCGCACGCCTGTAATCCCAGCTACTCGGGAGGCTGAGACACAAGAATCTCTTGAAACCAGGAAGTGGAGGTTGAAGTGAGCCAAGATTGCACCACTGTACTCCAGCCGGGGCGACAGAGTGAGACTCCATCTCATAAATAAATATATATATAGAAAAAGTCTGTGGCTGCCTTAATTCATTCAGCCTGGAAGTCAGGGAAGTTTCTGCAAAGCAAATGCCCCTTTTGAAGAGAACCAAAGGATGAGTGGCAGGAAATAAGGCAATGGTGGCTGAGTGGTCCGGTGAAGGCCATAAAGCAAAAGAGTACGTGGATTTAAGAAGTAGAGCATAGGGTTTGCCAGTGACGAGAGATGGCACTGGAAGCCAAGAGCAGGATAAAGGGCAGTCCTGAAGAGTTCGGTAAGCCTCATCAAAGTGCATCAACATGCAGATAAAGAAAGCCTCTTGCCATGTTTCCCTGGCCCCTTATACTTGCCCTATTCTATATTTACCATGCTCATTAGGGAAGTCAGGGAAGTAGTTCTGAGGGAAGGTAGAGTGAGTTTAGTTTTAGGCATACTGAGGGTGAGCTGCTCTTGGGAAATCCATGTGGAGCTGCAGAGTGGGCATTCTCATAATGTAGGGCTCTGGAGTGCTGAAGGATTAGAAAGGCTCAAGCTACAGATTTGTGATTTGTGAGCACCTGGGAGAATATCAGAGCCACACAGTGGGGGAACATTCCCAGGAAAGATTCAAAGTTAGAATCATAAAGAATTGGCATTTAAGGGCAGGTTTCACTGCTGTATCCTCAGCACAAAGCCTGGTACAGGGCAGAGGTGCGTAGTAACTGGTGGGTGGGTGGGTGGGTGGGTGGATGGATGGGTGGATGGATGGATGGATGCATAGATGGATGGAAGGCTAAAATATTGGCTGATGTTTTTTTGCAGGAGAAAGGAGAGTCTAGTTTCTGTGGGAAATTTTAGCCTAGGCCAGGCACGGTGGCTCACACCTGTAATCCCAGCACATTGGGAGGCTAAGGCAGGATGATCACTTGAGCCCAGGAGTTTGAGACCAACCTGGGTAATATGGTGAAACCCCATCTCTACAAAAAAAAAAAAACAATATTAGTCTTGGTCTGGATTGATATGCTTCAAGAGAATCCTAGCCCAGATGAGCAAGTATGCAATAGGATTACATGTTTCCTTAGGCCCTCATCAGGTTTTAGAAGCAGCAGCAACCCCCCTATGGATTGTGGGGTATGTAGGCAAAGGGACTGAGGCCTCTCTAAGGGAAACAAACTGTGCCCTAGATTCACTGTTCCTCAATCAGACATGATCAGTTCTACATGTCTCCTCTGTAATATTCTTGCAATTACCTGTGTCCTTGCATATGTCTCTGCTCTCTACTAACTGAATGCAGTGAAGCAAAACCAAGACATTCAAGCAGCAACAAATGTGCTGCAGGCTGGAATTGGAGAGCCAAATTAATATTCAAAACAAGTATTCCATCTAGGCAGAAAAATGTAAGAATATAATAGCTCCATCCTTCTGACTTTACAGTATTATTCGGTGAACACTGAGCTGCCAAGGCACTATGTTACAAAAATTGTATTCAGTCTAAAGCTCCACTGAACACACAGCCCCATTGAAATGGAGCGAGGTTAGGTGTAATGAGCAGAAGGGAAAGTATGAAGGCCAGAAGAGAAAGAGGAAACTACTTTTTCTTTGACCTCCAAAAGAAGGGACTATTCCATAGGAATAAGAACCAGAGGAACAGAATGCACTGGAAAAGGCAGCCTATTGCCATGGCGAAAAGTCAGCTGGTTTCAGGCCCTGGTTTCCAGCTTCCAGGTGTACCTGTTATTGTAGACCATTCGAGGAACTTATCTAAGCCCAATATCTGCATCTGAAAGATGGAGATGTCATATCTGTGTTACCTACTCCACAAAGCTGTTGTAAGAATGCAATGAGATGGTGGAAAAATAGCCTGGCCTCTGTTTTCTCCCTCTCCTTTCCATGCCACTTTGTTAGCTTCCCTAGTGAACAAATCATCAGCTGCAACTGTACTCCTGTTTGCATCTCTCCAACAAACCCAGCATTAGGGACCACAGGAAGTCTGCCTTTTTCTTCATCCGCAATACCTAGTACTGTGTCTGTTTCATAGTTGTTCATCGGCAGATGAGTTAACTGACAGACCAAATGAATTTTTGAACACTGTGATTTGTATAAGTGAGTGGAGTTTTATGATTATAATACGCACCTTGGAAGCCAGACCACCATTTCTGCATTCTGATTAAGATCATGTTACACGGTCTCTAATTATTTTCCTGATGGGACAGAGAAAGAGAGTCTCAGGGAATCAGTCTTCAATCTTCAGAGGAAGAATCCTGAGCATGGTGTCAGATTAGGAGCCACCCACTCCTCTACCTTTACCCAAGCCCTTTAAACCTTTCATGATGTTTTTCTATAATTGTGTGTAAGGTAGGAAAATGGGGAAACCAAATAAATCCACATTCTTCTATAACTGTGCCACACTACATCACCTTTAGAGTGAGTTGCCAATATTCCTGCACATTGTAGAAAAGATGATTTTTCATATTGCCTGTTTATCATTGTCAACAGGAGAAAAGATGCTGTCACTCATGAAATACTAATGAGATGCATTATCAATGATTTTAATTCATAGTATTGGAAACCTGACTCTACATACAAAATAGCTATGTTTATTTGAGCTCAGAGACCAGTCAGGAAAATTTATGTATGCATTTTATATAAAGAAAGAAGAAATTATAAATTATCATAGATTTATTTTAGAACCATAAAAATTATATTTAGAAGGAAGCCAAGGAAACTTTCTTTTTAGAAAGAGAATCTTCTTGACCACAGGTTCTCAACTTTTGTGACACGAGTTTCATCTTATTGAATTACAAGTCTGGTTAAATCTAGGAGGATCTGCATTTTTAACAAGTACCCCAGATCATTTGTGGAGTATTTTAGGAGTTTGCCCAGTCACTGAAATGGACAGGTGATTGAATTCTTTTGGTTGGTTGAAGAAGATATTGAGATCAGAGGAAACAAGTTTCTGTTGATGTGCGCTAAAACAACCAGATGACAAACAGGCTCCAATCATGGCATATGAGAAATGGTGAGGAGAAGCAGGGAAAGAGAAAAGCTCAACGCATAAAGCACACGTCAAACACTTGAGTTGGAGAAGGATTGAAGTTGTTTTGTGAAATACAGGGCAACAAATTTAGGCCCAGAATGAGGAAGAACCTTTATTTGTTTGTTTGTTTTTTAGAGACAGAGTCTCTCTCTCTCTCTTGCTTAGGCTGGAGTGCAGTGGCACCATCCTAGCTCACTGCAGCCTCAAACTCCTGGGCTCAAGTGATCCTTCCACCTCAGCCTCCTGAGTAGCTGAGGCTACAGGTGCAAGCCACCATAGCCAGCTTATTCTAAAAAACTTTTTGTGGCCAGGCGCAGTGGCTTACACCTGTAATCCCACCATTTTGGGAGGCCGAGGTGGGCGGATCACCTGAGGTTGGGAGTTCGAGACCAGCCTGACCAACATGGAGAAACCCAGTCTCTACTAAAAATACAAAATTAGCCAGGCGTGGTGGCGCATGCCTGTAATCCCATCTACTCGGGAGACTGAGGCAGGAGAATCGCTTGAACCCAGGAGGCAGAGGTTGTGGTGAGCCAAGATCGTGCCATTGCACTCCAGCCTGGGCAACAAGAGCGAAACTCTGTCTCAAAAAAAGAAAAAAAAAAAGAAAAACTTTTTGTAAGCCAGGTGTGGTGGCTCACACCTGTAACCCCAGCACTTTGGGTGGCCAAGGCAGGTGGATCACTTGGGGTTAGGAGTTCAAGACCAACCTGGCCAACATGGTGAAACCCCATCTCTACCAAAAATACAAAAATGAGCCAGGCATGGTGGCACATGCCTGTAGTCCCAGCTACTTAGGAGGCATGAGAATTGCTTGAACTTGGGAGGTAGAGGTTGCAGTAAGCTGAGATTCGCCATGTGCTCTAGCCTGGGCAACAGAGCAAAACCCTGTCTCAAAAAAAGCTATTTTTTGTAGAAATGGGGTCTTCCTGTGTTGCCCAGGCTGGCCTCAAACCCCTGGCCTCAAGTGATCCTCCTGACTTAGCTTTCTAAAGTGTTGGGATTACAGGTGTGAGCCACAGTGCCTGGCAAGAAAGAAGCTTTTAAGAATCAGGTTCCTCATCCAAGGAACAAATAGTGTTGTCACCAGAGAAGTTCAAGCCTGAAGGCTGCCTCTGGGAATCTAAGCATCAGATGACAAGAGACAGAGGAGGTGGCTTCTGGGGCGACTGATCCTTCTGATTTGGGCCTTTTCTGATGTGGTCAGGTTCCCACGACAGTGATAGTGGAACCCTGGCTTGTGTAGCCTCAAGGCCAGTAGAGTGATGGGTTGGTGTGTGCCCTCATCAGAAATGTTGAAAACAGTCAGTTCTAGAGTATGAAGGGCCCAAAGGCAGGCTAGTCCTAAAAGAAATGGTATAAGCCAGGCACAGTGGCATGTGCCTGTAGTCCCAGCTATTTGGGCGGCTGAGGCAGCAGGATCATATGAGGCCAGAGTTCAAGGACAGCCTGAGCAACATCGCATGATCTTGCCTCTAAAAAAAATAACAAACTTAAAAAAAAAAAAGAAATGGAACAGTCAACCCAACCCTCCTCCTAAGTTTACAGACAGACCACATACTTAAACAAGTATAAGCATACTTAACAATGTAATGAGACAAGTAACCAGTGGGAAGGGTCTGTGGAAGTGGACGAGCAGCCGGCCGTGTGTGTTGGGGACAGTGAAGGTCACTCCTATTTTTGTATTAAAATAAAATATGAGTAAAGATTTTTAAAAATGTATGAAATTATGTTGAAGCATTTTTCCATACATAGCTAGTTACCAGAAAACCAAAAAGTATTGATTTTTTTTGTACTGTTAGTATTGAGTATGTTTATTCCAAATTCTCTTCTTATCCTCCCCTTCCCCATTTTCATTTATGCATGCAGGTGGAAAAGCAAGGATTCAAACCAGGTTTCTGGCTCCAGAATCCTGTCTTCTATGTTCTACCTCCTTCTAATGTTAAGACAAAGAAAATTTTGCGTAATATTTGTTTTTCTTTTGTCTTCTTTTTCTTTTTCTTTTTTTTTGAGACAGGTATCACTCTGTTGCTGAGGCTGGAGTGCAGTGGCGCAATCACAGCTCACTGCAGCCTCGACCTCCTGAGCTCAGGTGATCCACCTCAGCCTCCCAAACAACTGGGACAACAGGCTTGCGCCACCATGCCTGGCTGTTTTTCTTTTTTTTAAACTAGGATTACTTCCTTAAGTACTTTTCTTTCTAAGATATAGAGACACCTGAGCTTGTAGTAGTTTACTACCTACAAGTATCTAGCATTATAAAAACAAAACAAAACAAAACACTATGCACATTTCTTTTTTTTTTTTTTTTTTTGAGATAGGGTCTCGCTCTGTCGCCCAGGCTGGAGTGCAGTGGCACGATCTGCAAGCACCGCCTTCCGGGTTCATGCCATTCTCTTGCCTCAGCCTCCTGAGTAGCTGGGACTACAGGCACCCGCCACTAGGCCCGGCTAATTTTTTTGTATTTTTAGTAGAGACGGGGTTTCATCGTGGCAGGTCTCGATCTCCTGACCTCATGATCCACCTGCCTCGGCCTCCCAAAGTGCTGGGATTACAGGCGTGAGCCACCGCGCCCGGCCTATGCACATTTCAATACTAAATGTGGTAGATAAAAATAATTAAACAAATGTGGTAATGGGAGGGGGCATAATGGGGAACAAAGCACAATGAATAGGTTCTTATACCAAATACTTCACATTTATTCCCCAAATTGTTTCAATCCCGATCACTCGTGGGTAGCGTTTTTGAGACACCAAAGGATTTGAATATGAAATTATTGCTTCAGAGCAAGGAAGTCTTATTAACAATTTCATGTGGTTTTGTGACCAGGCTGTGTTGTTCAGGGTTGATTTACAATTTTTATTGTCTCATAATAGAGTGTCAGAATGCATTTGTTTGATTTGTTGGGGTAATTTAAAACTTTAGTTATATCAAATATCAAGAGAATAAAGACTGAGTGGGGTGATTTGGAAAAATTGGACCGTTAGGTTAATTTAATTAGGAGGAGAAGGATGAAGTAGTCACTGTCAGCCTTTCAGACGATGTTCCCGATGCGATTCATATTCAAGAGATGACAGAACTAATTTGTCTTTCTGCTTGGGAAGAATGAGAACCATTCCAGAGCCAATTGCAATAAGCTTGCAGATTGGTAGTCTTCAATTGCACTGATTTTAAAGAATAATCTTAAACAGTGGTATTTTCTAGATTTTGACATCTTCTTTGAGCTCCATGGTTGCTGTGGCTTGGTTCAGCATCTCCCTCAGCATTCAGAATGATTTTGAATGTGATTAAGAATTTTTTTTCTCCTGCATTTTTATCATTGTATTGTCTCCAACAGGCTATTTGATGCACGAATTTCATAAGTTTTGGATTGAAGAGGACCCCATGGACATAATGGAATTTAATCGTGTGAGGGAGAAATTCCGCAAGAGGATCATAAAACAGCTGCAGAATCCAGACATGGCGCTGTGCCCACATTTTGCTGCCTCGGAAGGTTTAATCAACATGTAGTTGCCCACGCCAGTTTTAATGGATACCCTGGAACACTGCCTCATTGTCTTGTTAGATCTCTGCTTAGGTTGCAGCTCACGCATTGAATGCACACAGTGATTGTATGCATGCCTTTTGGTACAGTATTTTCATCTCTTGGTCATAATTCCGAGATCCCCAGAGACCACTGTTTCTGGAGTATCTGTCATCCAGTGACTGCTCATATTGTGGCATTATGCAGTGTTACATCTTGCCTTGACACCCAGGTATGGAGAGAGTTTTCTATTTTTTTAGACTTTTTTTCCTCTCCCTCATAGTTCAGCATTAAAGAATTGTATTTCTCTCGCTGTATTTTGTATGTAAGAGGTTTAGCCGAATCTTGTTCTGTGAAAGCCTTTTAATTTATTGATATGTTTCATGACTACTGCTGCTAGCTTTTCAAGCCAGGTTCATGCTTGGACCTCATTCTGATAAAGTATAAGACTTTAAAATAATACAAACAGGGCCAGGCGCAGTGGCTCCCACCTGTAATCCCAGCACTTTGGGAAGCTGAGGCAGGCGGATCACGAGGTCAAGAGATCAAGACATCCTGGCCAACACAGTGAAACCCCGTCTCTACTAAAAATAACAAAAATTAGCTGGGTGCGGTGGCGGGTGCCTGTAATCCCAGCTACTCGGGAGGCTGAGGCAGGAGAATCACTTGAACCCGGGAGGCAGAGATTGCAGGGAGCCGAGATCATACCACTGCACTCCAACCTGGTGACAGAGCAAGACTCCATCTCAAAAATAAATAAATAAATAAATAAAATAATACAGACAGACACATGATAAGCCAAACTGTTCCTGCAAACATAGCTACGCTTCATGAAAATGTAATGAGGCTTACAAGAAGTAACTTTAGGTAGGAGCTGTTTTTGTTTGAAGCACTGCAGAATTATATTGTAACTTCCCCTCACCCCAGTTGCAATTGTGTCATAGTCATCTGTATATCAAACTATTTTATTCCCATAACTCCACTGGCTTGGATGCCTAAGTGTATGATGCTTGAAGCCTCAGAAAAGAAATAAGCATATTTCAAAAACTGCAAAAGGTTTTTCACTGCCTGCCTCTTGCGGAACTGGGTTACACCCTGGCACTGTTCTGATCCAAGCATATTTGCTTGGGGAACTAAGTGCTGACTAGTTTGTTTTCTATGTCAAGAGGCAATATTAAAAAACAATTTGCAAGAAAATGTGTTTCAAGAGAGCAACCTAAGCTAAGTCACTCTGCAATATTTCTTGAAAATAACGACCTTGTCTTGTATCAGTGGAAGATGTAAATTGCTTAGAAAGGGAAAAGTCAAATCGTTCCAGAACTGCTAAAAATCATTTTAAAAACCGTGATTTAGTTTGGAATTATGATTGTAGTCTGTTGAATAGTATTTACCATGGCATTTCATACCCATGGTATTTTATACCTTCTGACTATCAATTTTAGTATTATTAGATGTTTGTGTAACCACTTGCTTATTTAAATGAATTTTGAGTACTGCCTAATTGTCAGTTATATGAATAAATTACATGTCATTCTACTGTAACGTATAGTGGATTTCATATTAATAGTTTCGTGCTCGTACAGCTTCTGAATATGCAAATATGTGAGTGAATAGAATGTCAAAAACAGACAACCTGGAGCTGACTATAAATCACGCCATCATTCAGAGTCAGCAGGTTCATAACTTCCTAGGAAACCTGGCTTGGCTGTTGCTAGATAAAGCAGAAACATTAACTACCCATTGTTTTCTTGTCCTTTCTCTCCCTTCTGGGATTGCATTATCCTTTCCCTTTCAGCCATGTACCAAGTGGCAGCATTTTGCATTGCCTTTTCTTATGGCCCTGTGTCCCTTCTTAGAATGAAGAAGGAAAATAGTTGGTTAGCACATGGTGGATACCATGAGTAATGACAAGAATGTATATTCCTCTCCAGAGAACTTGTCAACCTAGTTCCTCAGGCCTGCCTGAGGAGCCCTGAATATCCACCGTAGCTGCAGCTGCTGTCAATGAAGGTGTTATTCCACATGCAGTCCAGCCTTTGCCAGCCACATGTGCTCATTGTCTCTTTTTATCCACTGCGGTCCCATGTCACTGTCACGGCTTGACAGCATGCGGCACTTACACCAGCTTGCGTCTCTTCTGTTCAGATAGAGAGAGTTGATGCCAACAAAGCTAAGAGTTTCCGCTCTCGGCTCCTAGGATGCTTTCTTTCTATTGTATTTGAGCATGGCTGCACAATCTTAGGATGAACAAGCTCTGACAGCTCCTTTGAGCTCTGAGTATTATTAGATTTCTCATTCACACCACTTTGTGGAAGATGCATTCCACCCAGTCACACAAAGTGAGGTGAGAAAAAGAAGAGGAGAGGCTTCAAAAGCATCAACAACCTGTGGAGTGTGTGTGTGTGTGTGTGTGTGTGTGTGTGTGTGTTTCCCTTGAGTATTTTCAGCTTATACTTATTCCATTGAATAAGGGTTGACCACATAAAATGTAAATTGTGCGGCAAGCCTCTTCCAAGTCTTCCAAAACACTACTTGCTACGATAAAAACACATTCCTGTTTGCACTAGAGAAAGAAAACCTTTCGAAGCACTGTTTCTGAAACTTGACTGTGACCTTCCTTCTCACAGTTCTTGTTATGGTACTGAAAAAAATTTCGCCTGGTAACATACCATCTTTTCCATATTTGAAAAGAGGCTTAAATATATACCAATCCCAAAAGACAGGGTGACCTTACAATGTATCTTCCAAAACAGAACACTGTTGAGAGAGAAAGAGGATGTCGTTAATAGTTTCTTTAGAACAACAGAGTAAACTGGGACAATTTAAGAAAACTGAGATGTTAGGTGGCCAAGAGAGACCAAGAGACAGACTTAAGGATTGTGCACCCACAACGTGATTAATCAAATATAGCCCGATTTCTTTACTTTCAAGCCTCTGGCAGGAGAAGTACATCATAGAGATATAGACATTTTGATATGCAGGACACTACCCAAAATCTTAGAGACCCATCACAGGCATGGGCTTGGTTTGAGCTGAGAAATTCAGCTGCATAGATGGGGCCTAAGTTGGCAATGGGGACATAAAACCTGACAATCAAACTCCATGGCAACAAACTGTCTTGACCCATAAACATATGGTGCCAGATCCAAATTGAAGGGGAGTGTGGAGGGGAGCGGAATTGGTGGAATATGAGGATAGGAGATGGGAGATGATGGAGAGAAGAGGAAGGGGGCAGAGAAAAAGGAAAATATCAGCTAGGCCCATAGCCACTGAGCCTTCTGACACAGACTCTATTAAAGCAATGCCTCTAACTCTTCAAGGAGCTCAGAAATGGTAGCTGCTGTAATCTAGAGACAAAATGGCAGAAAAGCAGAACCAAATATAACATCAAGTCCTAGAAGATGAAAGAGATTCTGGTACAGATTCCATTTCAAGAGCTCACATTTAGCCGGGTTTTATGCCATGTGCCAGGACTATGCTAGTCCTTACCTTGCATTATTTCATTTCCTTAACAACACACAGGATCAGATGGGTTTTTGTCTGCCTGCGCACTTGTTTTTCTAGACAAACACACTTGTTTTTCTAGACAAACAGGTTTAGATAAGTTAATACATTGCCAAAGGTCTCAAGAGAAGTATTAGGTTGGTGCAAAAGTAATTGTGGTTTCACCATTGAAAGTAACGGCAAAAAACTGCAGTTGCTTTTGCACCAGCCTAATAAATGGCATAGCTAGACTTGAACCCAAGACCTTAACCCCAGACATTCAATCATTATGCTGCTGTCTACCGAACTGGAATCCTCTACCATCCCAAGACACTGGTGAATTATAAACACACACAAATGTGCACACACACTCCACCCCCAAGTGATAGCAGATGTGTTCATAAATATTTCTGGCTCAGATGTCTGTAGGGTGAATTCAAATGCTGCCATACTATCCCTCAGGACTGCCCACAGTTTTGGTCAGATTTGTTTCCCCTTGCTACTCAAAGAACAATTCTAGGACTGTAAGCTCTTTCTCCTGATCCCTGTCTCCCCCAGGAGGGGAGGCTGCAAACCTCCTTCCTGTTCCCTTGCAGGGGAAACCTCAGCAAGGTGGGTTTGCAGGACCTGTGCGATGGCAAGCTCAGGCCGGAAGCTACACAGCATTTATCTCTATGGAAGGAGAAACACGCAGGGCTTTGGGCATGTGTGCGCTTCATAAATAAAACATTCCTTTCGCAGCTGAGGTTCTTGTGTCTCATTGACCTGACATAGCCTTCAGAATGCTGCCACTCATAGACACTAACAGGAATTATGTTGTCCGCTAACATCGCTGGGATGCTTCATGGAAACCCCACGGAGATGGTCAGGACAGGGTCAGGACATGGTTACAAAGATCAAACCCTTGACTACTTTTTTTTTCTTTTCTTTTTTTTAATCATAGCACTGTGCAATGCTTTGGGAAAGACCATAGAAGAAGAGTTTATGGGCCGGGGGAGGTGACTCACGCCTGTAATCCCAACACTTGGGGAGGCTGTGGTTGGTGGATCATGAGGTCAGGAGTTCGAGACCATCCTTACCAACATGGTGAAAACTCGTCTCTACTAAAAATACAAAAATTAGCCGGGCGTGGTGGCGGGCACCTGTAATTCCACCTACTTGGGAGGCTGAAGCAGGAGAATCGCTTGAAACTGGGAGGCAGAGGTTACAGTGAGCTGAGATTGTGCCACTGCACTCCAGCCTGGGCAAGAAAAGCAAAACTCTGTCTGAAAAAAAATAAAAATAAAAATAAAAATAAAGAGTTTATGGCCACTAGAAAAGAGTGGCAAAGAGAAGAGATAGCTGAGATTAATCTTGAAAAACCACAGGTAAACCCCCTCTGTTATACAAGTTAAATGGCCCTTTTGTGATTTCACCTACCCTACAAAGGGTCAGAGGATTTCCACAGCATCACAAGGCATAAGTTTTGGAATCAGCTTTACTCGGAAATTTTCTAAAGCAAGGGTCAGCAAGTGAAGAATGTTCAAGTACCTCCCATGCTCACAAGGCACACCAAGGCCTGGTGGTGTAGGTCTGAGTTCAGCTGGAGAGGGTCCTACCCCCTATCGTTCTTTCTTTTAGGGAAAGCATGAAAGCAACCTTGGCCAAGGGGTGAAGATCTGATCAGAACACATTGCAGCAGGCAGTCTGGCTTGGCTGCCAGCCGGTTGCGAGCTGAGTGGGAGCACGAGTTCCCTGCACCTGGAGGCCCTGAGGTCTGTGGGATGTTGCCCTGGGGGAGGAAATCTCTGGTTCTAAGGGAAGCTAAGCTGGGATGCAACCTCTTTGCTAGAAGAGAGAGGAGCTTTCAGTTATAGCTGGTTTGTCCAGGCAGCCCAGAGTGAGCTCATGAATTATATTTTGAGAAATCTCTTCATATTACACCCATATACTTACATTTTTGACATAATAGCTCTCTGTACCAAGTGTATAACAATTATAGAGGAATAGGGACATCAACAGCCTCAAGCTATATGGTACTAAGAGTTACATCATCCACTTTGGATGACGATTTTACTCTTTCTGCAGAGCACAGCAGCAAAAAATTGCAATCCAAAGACCCACGTTCTAGTGTACGTGCTGCTTCCTTCCTTAGGTCAATGATTTCATCCTTCTGACTTTGCTTTTACCATCTGTAACATAAAAATAATAATGACAACTCTTCTTCAGAGGATTATTGTAGGAGTAAAATTCAAATAAGCTAACAATAATTATTAGCTATAAGTGTTTGGGAAACTCCAAAGTGCTAGTCAAACACAGGTTTAATCATGGTTCAATTTTCATCCCTCTGGTTTTTGGCTATGAACTTCCTCTAACAAAGAATTCAGCTACAAAATTTGTCCTTGGAGCCAGTGTTCCTCACTAATTCAATTCAGCAAATATTTATTGAAAACTTATTTTAGTCCCAGGCATCGTGCCAAGTCTGGGGACCAAATGGGAGACAAGACAGTGTGGCCTTGGTCTCAGGGACCTCACAGTCTGAATCTAGTGCCTGGCTTCTCAAAGCCCAGTCTTTGGACCGCCATGAAGAGCACTGTTAGAAATGAATCCTCTCAGCCCCGTCCCCAGACCTACTGAATGATAGTCTTCATTTTAACACTCCCCCAGGTGATGCGTGTGCACATTCAGCTGAGAAGCACTTCTCTAGGGATTATTGATCTGGTTTTTCACTGAAACCTGACAAGATTTAGTCTCAGTTGTTGATGGTTTAGAAATCAATCAAATATTCCCTTTGTTTTCCCTCAATTTACGCAGTCATTATAACTTGACCCTGCTCCCACCTCTAACAAAGGACTTCATGTTCTGTTGTCATCACCCAGAGGTGCAAACAGGAGCTGGCATGGAGAGGAGGAGGGCGTCATCCTGGACACCGGCCTCAGAGGGTGGCCTACCCCCATGCCATGCTGCTTGGGACGCTTCCTACAGTAGCCAAAGCTGGTCCTGCCCCCATGTGGACCCCCACAGATGACCTTTCTCAGAGGGTCCTTCTTTCAAGGTATCTGTCAGGATGGCCAATCTCC